TAGGGAAATGTAACCTTGCATGAGGTGGGTCAAAGGCTTCTCTGAACTGTAAGCAAAAGCCGAAGGCTCAGCAGGAATGAACGAGACAAGGAGAAGGAAGGACCGTTCAGGTAGAGGGAACAGCTTGTGCAAAGGCCCTGTGGCAGGAGGGGGATGAAGAGCAGCAGAGCTGAAAGGCAATGAGAGGAGCTGTACCACATTCTGCACGGCTTCTCCCAGCTCCCCTTGTTCACCTGCCTGGCTGTCAGACCCGCAGTGCAGTCTGAAGGCTTTCCCTACCTACTCAGAGCCCTCCCCCCTGTATCTCACAGGCATGACCCACAGTAAACCTCTCGTCTTCTTAACTGCCAGCGCCCAGCAGCGCAGAGCCCATGATGCCGCCGCAAAGCCGGATTTCGCCTTTACTCGCATTTCATTTGCTGTCAGCTCTCCGGGGCTGTCTTCAAAAGAAGGAAATGCAGAGGAGATTCCGATAGCGGGGTACCTTTGTCATGTCCATCACGGCTCACGAGCAAACAGCCGAGAATCAGCCCCCCTTTTCTTGCCAGCAGAGCCCCAATATGGTTCAGGTGTCTTCTCCTGCACCTGCTGTCATGGCTCAGGGGTAAAAATTCTAAATTCCCACAGCCAGCGACAGTCATCCTCTTTAACTCCCCGGCGGCAGGGTCACCAAGGGGCATGCCACCCAGTCCTGACTAATGAAACGGACCAGGAAGTGGTCTGGGTGCCTCTGGAGTTCATGAGAGACATGGGGTGGGGGAGAAAGCCCCTTGGCTGTTGGTGGGTATTGTGGGGTATGAGTGTGCTACCCTGAGTGGAAGCTAGGCTCATGGCAGGTGCCCAGGCAAAAGGAGAGAAGTGTAGCTAGAACCCAGGCTGCCAAAGGCATGGTGGGAAGCCCTTTATGGGTTGGGAAAACTGGGGCTTAGCCCTGTGCTCGCCCGCCTTTTGTTTTCTTCTTGTTGCCACCCATTTCCGCCACGTCCCTCCTCGCCTGCCTGCACACCTGATGGTTCTTTTTTCTTTTTTTATTTAATTTTTTGACAGGCAGAGTGGACAGTGAGAGAGAAAGACAGAGAGAAAGGTCTTCCTTTGCCGTTGGTTCACCCTCCAATGGCCGGCGCAGTCAGCGCACTGCGGCCGGCGCACCGCGCTGATCCGATGGCAGGAGCCAGGTGCTTCTCCTGGTCTCTCATGGGGTGCAGGGCCCGCCCAAGGACTTGGGCCATCCTCCACTGCACTCCCTGGCCACAGCAGAGAGCTGGCCTGGAAAAGGGGCAACCGGGACAGAATCCGGAGCCTCGACCGGGACTAGAACCCGGTGTGCTGGCGCTGCAAGGCAGAGGGTTAGCCTAGTGAGCTGCGGCGCCGGCCCTGATGGTTCTTGTTTGAAGATGGAAAACAGCAGCTAAGAGGTGTGATGGAAGCAGCCTGGAGAAGGAGGCTGAAAGGGACCAGTCGGGAAATCGGGAAATGAGGCACGCATCGCTGATTTCCTTAGCACTCACTGTCTTAAAGAACGTCCGACTGCAAAGAGACTTTGTAAAATGAAATAAAATCAATTGCTGAAAAAGGAAGAGACAGCAGCCTTGCTCCTTCGCTCCACATTAGGGAGGGAACTAACACTTATTGAGTGCTTGCTGTATGCTTGGCATTTTATAAGAAATTTTCATACATTGTCCCATCAAACGGCCTCACAACACCGTTGAATAAAACTTCAATGCCTCACCAAGGCCCATGACGGCCGGTGTGAGCTGACTGACAGCATTGACCGCCTCCCCTCTGCTCCAGCCCAGCCTCCCCCACCGGCCTTCTCTTCCGTTCAGGGAATCCATCAAGGCCAGCTCCCGCCCAGGGCTCCTGCCCTGGCCCTTCCTCTGCCTGGGACAATTTCCCATGCATCTTCTTGATTTCTTCCCTTGGAACTCACCTCAGCTCCAACACTCAGAGAGGCCTGCCTCGGCTGTCCCACCTAAAGCAGACCCATCCCCCTTCCCCTAGTCGCCTGGTCCAGGGCCCGCCCTGCTTTATTTTTTCCCACTGCACCTTGAGTGTGTGAAGTTACTTTATTTTGGTCTGTTTGCTCCCACTCGATGTTTCCACTCTGCGCTGTCCCCTGCTATCCCGAGGCATTTAGAGGAGTGGCTGCTGCAGAGTAGATGCTCAAATGAACAGGCAGGGTATGACCTTCGGAGACAGAGGGGGCCGATGTCCTCAGGCCAGAGACCACCAGGAACACGCTGTAGCTGAACAAGTTGGGTCTTTGAATGGCTCACCACACCAAAGGAGAATGCACCAAGGAGACAGCTCCTTAAGAGGGTGTTAGAAGATAATTCGGCCGGCACCGCGGCTCACTAGGCTAATCCTCCGCCTTGCGGCGCCGGCACACCAGGTTCTAGTCCCGGTCGGGGCGCCGGATTCTGTCCCGGTTGCCCCTCTTCCAGGCCAGCTCTCTGCTGTGGCCCGGGAGTGCAGTGGAGGATGGCCCAGGTGCTTGGGCCCTGCACCCCATGGGAGACCAGGAGAAGCACCTGGCTCCTGCCTTCGGATCAACGCGGTGCACCAGCCGCAGTGCGCCAGCCGCGGCGGCCATTGGAGGGTGAACCAACGGCAAAGGAAGACCTTTCTCTCTGTCTCTCTCTCTCACTGTCAGCTCTGCCTGTCAAAAAAAAAAAAAAAAAAAAAAAAAAAAAAAGATAATTCATGGCGGGATCGGCGCTGTGGCATAGCAGGTAAAGCCGCTGCCTGCAGTGCTGGCATCCCATATGCAATGGTTCAAGACCTGGCTGCTCCACTTCCTCTCCAGCCCTCTGCTATGGCTCAAGTGCTTGGGTCCCAGCACCTGCCTGGGAGACCTGGAAGAAGCCCCTGGCTTCAGATCAGCTCAGCTCTGGCTTTTGTGGCCATCTGGGGAGTGAACCAGCAGGTGGAAGACCTCTCTCTCCCTCTGTAACTCTGCCTCTCAAATAAATAAATAAGTAAATAAAAAGATGATAACTCATAGTTTTAGATTCATATTAGGTAATTTTGATTGGGATTTAAGAAAGAAGGGCTTAATTTTTTGGATTGGATATTTTCAGGAAGCAGGGACAATTTTTTTTAAAGATTAATTTATTTGAAAGGCAGAGTTACAAAGAGAGGGAGAGAGAGGAGAGAAAGGAAGAGGGGGGCAAGAGAGAGAGCGAGAGAGAAAAAGAGAGAGAATCTTACACCCCCTGGTTCACTCCCCAAGTGGCCATAATAGCCAGGGCTACACCAGCAGTCAGGAATTCCATTTGGATCTCACACATGTGGCAGGAGCCCAAGTACTCGGGCATCTTCCACTGCCTTCTCAGACGCACCAACACCCAGGGCTCAAACAGGTGCTCTCATGTGGGATGCTGGTATCACAGGCAGCAGCTTAACCCACCGTGCCACACAGTGGCCCCTCGATGGGTGTTCCTGATCTCATCTGTAAGGCAGGGAGTGGAACTGATAATGAACGGGCCAGCAACACTGTCACCAGGGAAGCGTCAGCAGCCATCATCCTAGCCAGGATAGGAGAGGGTTGGTGCTTTTGTGGTCTGCACAGTGGCGTCATTTTTGTCACTACTTAGACTAGATTACTGAGTGGCCTTGTTTTTCTCCCACTTCATCAGATATGGGCTTGCCTTGTGTGATGTTGTGTTCTGTGCAGCCAGGCTCAACAGCCAAGGGCCAGCTGGGAGCGTGGCGCTGGGTTCTGGATGTTGTCCCCAAATGTCCTAGGGTTGGAGTCCAGCACCAGATGGCACAGAAACAAGCAGGAATATTTGTTTCTTAAAAAAAAAAATCTTTATTTATTTGAAAGGCAGAATGACAGAGAGAAAGGGAGACAGACAGACACACAGAGATTCTTCCACTGTTGATTCGCTCTCCAAAATGCCTGCAGCATCTGGGGCTGAGAAAGGCCAAAGCCCAGACCTCTATCCAGGTCTCCCATGTGGGTGCCAGGGACCCACGGACTTGGCTCATCACCTGTGATCCCCCAAGCACACTATCAGGAAGCAGAGCAGGGACTCAATCCCAGGCATTCACTCTGACCTGGAATGCGGGCATCCATCCCACGTGGCAGCTTCACCTGCGCCACCACAATGCCCGCCAGAAGATTGCTTTTGGCTGTTCCATAGCCTCCCCTCCCCCCATTCTGGATCTTTAGTGGAGGCCAAGGTAGAGAAGTCAACTGGGAATGCCCCATTTGTCCCAGGATTAGTGATCACCTCCGCACCGGCTCAGGTAGATGTAACTTTCAGATGGAGCACAGTGGATATTTTGTATTCTGCATGGTAGGGAGTGCTCCCTCTCACAGTCTCCTGGGAAGTCATGTTCAAAAGTTCTCCAGCGCCTTGGTGCCGGCTCAAGTTTTTCTCCAAACACAAGTGCATGGCTCCAGGAACGTCCTTTAACCAGTAGGCCAGGGTTGTCTGGGCTCCCACGACACCCTGTATTTCTTGGTTAACATCCTTGTTAGACCATAATTAATTTGTTTATAATGTGTCTGCCTGGTGAGACTGTCTCCCACATGTTTGTATCCCCGGAACTTAACAAAGAACTTGGCACGGGCCAGGCTGTCTGTAAATATTAAGTGAGTTTGAGATGGAGCTTTAATTCCTGGCTCGAATCCGCCTCACCAAGCATTTAAGGAGTCTGTTTTGCCAGCCAGGAGGAGACTGTGGAATATCTGATAGTCCTTGCCTTCCAGGAACTCGTATCTAACAGATTTAAGGGTACTTAATATTTAAGGGTACTTAATATTATCATTTTCTGCGTGCGATGTAGCTGGGATGTCGCCACGAACAGGTTCTGGAACTTTCCTGAAGCCCACCAACCCTTAGGCTGACAGCTCGCGGTTGTGCCATGAAATCTGAGCCGAGGTTCTGAGCCCTAGAGTGTAGACATCGCGCTGACAGGCATTTTTCAGGCAGAGTTGGTTGATTTGACCAACCTGGCGAAAAATTCAGGTCTCGTGCTAGGCCGTGCGGATGGGAAAACAGAGATTCTGGCTTCAGAACCGAACGCAACGGTCTTCAATCGCGGTCCCCGCGGAGCCCCTCGCCGCTCAGTTCCTCTCCTCACACAGCTGGGCAGAAGAAAAGAAAAAAGCCAAGGCGGTAGAAGGGGCGCAGGTGAGCATCCTCCGCCCCGCCCCCGCCGGCCACGCCCTCGCCCCCAAACCCACTTCAAACTCCCGCCCCCTCTTAACGACGACCAATGCCCGGGCGAGGAGCGCGCAGAAGGCTGCGGATTGGCCGACGCCGCGGTTGCCGCGGTGACGGGTGGGTCCCGCGGGGGTCCCCGAGCGGGGCCGGGACCCGGGGCGCCCGGAGGTTTCCGCTCAGCTCGCCGCGGCCCCCGGCGGCGGGAGGGGCGTCCCCCGCGCGCCCCCCGCGCGCCCCCCGCCGGCCTCCCGCTTCCCCCGCGCGCCGCCCGGCGTCTCCGTCTCCGCCCCCAGGACCTGCGGCCGCCAGCTCCGGAGCGCGGCTTCCCGGGCCGGCGGCGCGATGGGCTGCGGGAACTCCACCGCCACCAGCGCGAGCGCGGGCCGAGGTGAGCGCCTGCGGCGGGGTTCCTACGGGAGGCGGCGGGAGGGAAGGTGCGGGACCTGGGGCCGGGGAGGGCGCGCTTCCCGCAGGTCGGTCCGCTGGCGCGGGGGCGGGCGCGCGGTCGGGCTGCGGGGTCCGCACCCTCGGCCGCGAGCCGGCTCGCTCTCCTCGGCCCCCAGCCCTGACCCCGACACGCGGGACCCTGGAAAAGTGCGGCGGAGCGAGTCGGGACTTTTCTGGGGGCGGGGGCCGGGGACTGCAGCCCGGGCTCCAGACGCGCGTCGGTGCGGGTGTGGATGCCTCAGACCCGCGGGGGCTGCTCCGCTCTTTGCCTGAGAAGCCGCAGCCGTGTTGGCTGCATGAGGTGCGGCTGTGAAAAAAAAATTTTTTTTTTTCATTTGAAACACGTTTGGAAACTTCTTTCTACCACGCTGCGTCGTGTTGATTGGCATGGCTTTTTAGATTCCCCGGAGCCAGCCGGGCTCCGTGTGCGGTGACCCCCAAGACTCGGCCCGCCGTGCCGGATGTACTTGAGGCGGCCTGTGTCCTGTTTTGAGGGACATCCGCGGGCCCCCTTTGGTGTCCTGGATCAGCGGCGCCCGCCCGCTCCGATGGAGCCCCGTCGGGTGCCCCACGCCGCCCCGGCCGGCTGATGCTGGCGCCTCGGCGGCGGTGGACGCGCCTGCAATGTCTCCGTGACCTTGGGTCTGTCACTTGCTCCAGCCTCGGCTCGGGGAGAAAGATGCGGCTTAAAAACTCAAGCCTCGTTTGTTCGTTAGTTTTGATGTTCCCGTTGCATGTGAATGGGCCCAGCTTTTTTTTTTCTTTCTTCGCTTTGACCATCATCCGTGACCCGCGCACGTGGGGCATTCGGTTTCCAAAAGAGGAGAAGGCGAATGAACGCAGGAAGTGATTCATAAGGAGAGTTTATCTCGTTCCTGGAACCTCTACCGTGTTGAATGAATTTTCTGCCCCTGAGCTGGGCGGAGGGCTGCTGGGAACAGCCTTGTACAAACCTTGAGCCGGTGGGGGTAGGGGCAGGGCGTCAGTCTTCCCGGGGCTGGAACCGGGTCAGGGCCACAGCCTGCCTTCAGGATTGTCTGGGTGTGCCAGGCCCTGTGTGTGCACCCTACCCTAAAAAGCTCCAGAACATTAAAAAAAAAAAAAAAAGGTTCTTAACACGTTTCAAGTGGAGCTCAGTTTCCTGCATTCACATTTTTATCTATTAAGGAGCTGTGTGTCAGGTTTGGGGGTGGGAGGCATGTGATTGGCAAAAGAAAATTGGAGCTCCTTACTAAGACTTTTTTTTTTTTTAAGGGATGTTTAGTTACAGTGAGGGAAACCCGCGTCCTCACTTTTGGTTCTTGCCCCTCTTAAGGCTGGCTCCGTGGTAAAAATTACTTGCCATTCAGATCAGCGCAAGATAGCGAGTGGAAACCTTAGCAGAGGTCGGCGAAGAATTCGTGGAGCAGGGTGCTGTTGCCTTGCTGAGTTGCTGGGTCTGCCCTGGGTCTTTGAGAAGTCGCCCTCCTGCTGGCTGGCTTTGGGGTTGGGTCATTGTTATTTTGCTCTTTTCTGTCGGCTGGTGGTAGGAATGAGTCTAGTTTCAGAAAGGAAATGCATCAGTGTGAGAGATGTGGGGTTGAGAAAAATAAACAGCAAGGCAGCACTGCTGAAATGTTTCACCTGTGAACTTTGATATCTGCATTAAGTCAGCTATTGTCCAAGTTACAAGCTTGGACTGAAGCCAAGCGATAAGAAAAGTATTAAACAAAAATCAGTGTTGTCCTCATCCTCCGAGCACTTTGAGTGTACAACTTCTGAAATGCTCCAGGAATCATGCCATTCAACAGCTACACTGAACTTTTCAGGAAAAAAAAAAAAAAAAAGTAGGCGAGGTTGAAAAGGTGTCGTGTTGACGCGGCCGAAGGCTGCTTGCGGATTGTGGCAGCCGGGGAGTGAGGCTTTGCGGCTCGCGGGACTGTGGGTGTCGCATTTGCTTTTCTGAGCTGCGCTCCCTTCCTCTATACAATGGGGATAATTGGACGTCTGAGGGCTTATGTGAAGCTCAGAAATTAGCTCGTGTGGGAAGGCGCTCTGTAAACTGTGATTACCATAGAGGAGTCAAAAAAAATGATTACCCTGTTGAGGACCAAGTGGCTTTCCTCGACGGACCTGCTCCTGTGCCTTAGCACACATTATCATGATGTCCTCAAACCTGAAACCGTTCCAAGCCTTGTGGGACTCCCTCCGTGAGTCCGGTGTTTGCCCTTTCTCTGGGCTGTCTGGGCGACTGCCTTTCTTGGCTTTTGTCTGGTGAACTTGGTCAGTGTGACAGATGGCTGTGCCGTGGTGTACTTGAGTGAATGTGGTGTCCTGTGTCCCAGGGGATGTGCAGCAGCGTGCTCAGTGGCCGTAAGGAACAGCGGGTAATAGATGGGTAACTTGGTAACTCGGGGTAGATTTGCCCCTCCCCTAGATTTCTTTCCCAGGTGCATTAGCAGGGAGCTGGATCGGAAGTGGAGCAGCCCATATGGGATGCCGGTGCTGCAGGTGGTGGCTTAGCCTGCTATACCACAATGCCGGCCCCTGCAGGCTTCTACAAGGTTCACCCCATGTGCAGAGCACTCTACGGGGAACGTTGAGGGGGCAAGGCTGGGGGTGGCCAATATGGTGGCTGCAGAATGAAATCCAGTGAGAGGCTGATGGTCTGGGTGGAAGGATTAAGCATGTGGGTATGATTGTGCAGCAGTCTGTGACAGACTGCACCTTGACCATCAAAGTGCACAGGAAAATGTGCCTGATGCAGCTTAATCAGAGCAGCCTTTCTGGAGGAGGTGAGCCGCAGCTTAGACGGGATTGTTAGGACTTGTTTAAGTGAAGAAGGGCTCTCCATTTTCATCTTTTTTTTAAAAAATTATTTATTTGAAAGGCAGAGTGAGATGGAGAAGTCTTCCATCAGCTGGTTCACTTCCTAAAAGACTGCAACAGTTGGGGCTGGGCCAACCTGAAGCCAGGACCTTGAAGCTCCATCCTAGTCTCCCTGGTCTGGGTGGCAGGGGTCCAAGTACCTGTGCCAACTTCCGCTGTTTTCCCAGGTGTGTTAGCAGGGAGCTGGACTGGAAGCAGAGCAGCCAGAGCTTGAAGGTGCACTCCGATGAGAGATGTGTGCCTTGCAAAGCCATTGAAGGGCGTATGGGCAGCTGCTTAACCTACAGCGCCACAGTGCTGGCCCCTGGGTTTAATGTTTTAATATCAAATCGCTGTCTGCATAGGAACTTGATTTTTTCCCATCTTAGAAACATAGTAGAAGGGCTTCTTGTATTTTCCATTTCATGAGGATTCGGTTTATTTTATCTTTGCAGAGTCTAAAGTCTAAACCCTAAAGTATAGAAAAAAATACCTGTAGTAAATGATCTACTTTAAAGTGTCACATTGCTTCAGGCAGGGACTGTCCCTCTGCACCTGCAGCCTAATGCCGTGTCCCCCTTGCTTTTCCTGGACCGTCTGCTGCCTGGGCAGAGATGAGCGCACCTGCTTACCTGCAGCAGCTCAGCCAGCCCCTTTCATGCGGTGACATGTGAGTGTGACAGTTTGAGACTTTGTAACCTACGGCAGGAGGGGCTTCAAAGTCTGGGTGGCTCCAGGTGCCTCAAGCGGCCGCTTCCAGTGCAGGCTAAGGCTGTGAACATTTTTTGCAGAAGCAATGATTTTAAAAGTTGTGTCGCCTCACGATATTTGGTTACTTTGCTTCGTTGTAGTTTTTCTGCCCGAAGTTTGGCAACTCTCTGGCTGTCACTTTTTTTTAAAGTTGAGAGGCAGAGAGCTAGACAGAGAGGCACAGAGACATCTCTCATCTGCTGGGTCACTCCCCAAAGTCCACAACAGCTGGGACTGGGCCATGGTGAGGCCAAGAGCCAGGGAAGCAGTCCTGGTCTCTGACGCAGGTGGCAGGGACCCGTGTCCTTGAAGCCGTCACCTGCTGCCTCCCAGGTGTGCATGAGCAGGAAGCTGGAACCTGGAGTGGAGACAGGGCTCCAGCCCAAACACTGCGGTGTGAAATGCAGGTGTCCCAGGTGGCGTCCCTACCGCCAGGCCAGTGCCTGGCTCCTGGCTTCAGCCCGGCCCAGACCTGGCTGCTGTGGCCTTTTGAGGAGTGAACCAGCTAGTCTGAGGGCTCCTTTCTGTTTCTCTGTCTCTGTCTCGCTCTGTCCCTCTGCCTTTCAAACCAATATATAAATCTCTCTCTCTCTCTCTCTCTTTTTTTTTTTTTTGGAAGGATGTGTCTCTAATGGCTGTGCTATTTATATAATAGTCTGTGGAGGAGGTGCTTAATAATGATTTATCCTGGTTTATCAGTGTCCTCAGGGAATTAATATAATCCTTTTGGGTTCAATTATTTAGATCAGTTATTTCCTTGTCCTCAATTAGCGAGGTAATTGCCTTTTCTTTTGCTGCAGCCATATTGGTACAAGCTTAATTTACAGCCGTAAAGGATTGAGTAGTGTTGAAGTGATGGGATGCGTTCAGCATTAGTCTACCATGGGGGGAAATCCTACAAGAGAGAATTCATCACCTCTGCTCAGCGAAGAACCGGAAGCTCCCTGTCATTCCTTCCCTTCCTTAAACACGCCGGCCCCTCCCTCTCCTGTTTGCTGTCTGGGGCACCTTTGCTGATATTTTGTTAATGTCTTGTTTCTTTGTTCCCCTCCCCAAGGGGGTAGGCCTACTGACCAGCCCATCAGCCACCTTCACTGCTTCTGGACCGCTCCCGCATTGTCAGGGGATTTTTTGATAGAAAATTAAATCCTGGCTATGATGAGCATTTGGGGAGTGAAACAGCAGATAGAAGCTCTGTGTCCCCCACTCCCCTATCTGCCTTTCAAATCAATCAGTCTTTAAAAAAAAATTAAGTTCTAAATTATGTGGGCACACTGTGACTGATGTAGCAATTGAGAGAATGAATTACCAGAGAGCTTCAAATATTCCAGTGAAAATGGACCG